TGCCCTATCACATGGTCAATCTTTTTTTTTTTCTTTTTCTTTTGGAGAAGTTTTTGCCATAGGGCATGTGCACTCTCCAGAAAGACCCAGAGAGACAGAGAGACAGAAAGTGAGAAATTACCCCCCCAAGGAGGATGGCCATGCCGCAATCCCTTCTCCTCCATTCTCCTCTCGGGATCTTGGTCATGCATGTACACGTGATCGGTGTGAGTTTTAAGCCACCAGGTCTGGGACGCAAACCGCAGTTGACTACATGGGAGTCCAGTGACGTAGCCATTACACTAACTGCTGGTCCCTCACATGGTCAATCTTTGAAAATGTTGCATGTGTATTTTGAGTTCATTGGGTGAAAAGTTCTATAGGTGTCCATCCAATTCATTTGATTTATGGTATCATTCAGTCCTGTATCTTTTTGCTAATTTTTCCAGGTGATCTGTCCAAAGGAGACAGTGGAGTGTTAAGACATCCAATGATTATTGTGCTGCAGTCTATCTCTCCTTTTAGATTTAGCAATCTATCTTTCATGCATTTGGGTGCTTCAGTATTGTGTGCACAGATGATTATAAGTGTTAAATCTTCTTGATGAATTAGCTTTTTAGTACTATATCATATCATTCTTTGTCTTTTCTGATAGTTTTTGTCTTAAAATCGATTTTGTCTGATATCAGTATTGTGACTCCAGTCTTTTCTAAAATTTCCATTGGAATATTGGAATGTCTTTTCATAGCCCTTCACTTTCTGTCCTTTTTTTTTTTTTTTTTAGAGGTTTTTGCCATAGGGCATGGGCATTCATCTTAGGAAGACAGTGAGAGGGAAAGTGTGAAATCATCCCCCAGGGTGGATGGCCACAATCCCTTCTCCTCCACTCTCTTCTTGGATTTTTTTTTTCATTTAGGTAAATATTTTATCCAAAAAATAAGACTTCAAATGCAGGGGCAAAAGGAAAAGGACAAATTAAATCACATCAAACTCAAATATTTAATTTTAAAAGTATGTGTTGGTTATCCTAACATGTTTACAAGGCTTAACATATAAACTTTGCCAAAGTGGTCTCAAGATAACTTTATTTGTACTACATCTGATCCAAAACTATGTTTCAATGGACACAAACTGAGGACAGTTAAGGCAGCCATAAAATTGAATAGGCTGAAAAGAACATGTAATTATATCACTTGTCCCAACTAAAGGACTAACATGAGTATGGTTAGCTACTTTCTTCACACTATTTTTCCAACAAAATGTTGAGGAGGAGAACAGAAAAAATTGTTCTTAAACCTCATTTATTAGTTGGTAAGCATTGTTTCCTTAGGGATCAAATACAAAATTTGATCCCTATGTAAAATGCCACTTCATAGCCACTAGGACTGGGACTTGAACCATGTCCAGCCACATGGGAGTCCAATGCCTTAGGCACTATAGCACCTGCTGGCTCCAGTCATGTTTGTCTTTGTCTGTGAGGTGTGTTTCTTGTAGGCAGCAAATAGAGTGCTCCAGTTTTTTGTTTTGTTTTGTTTTGTTTAATTCATTCAGCCAGTTTGTATCTTTTGAATGGAAAATTTAATCCATTAACATTCCAAGTTATTATTGATATTTGCAGATTTGTCTCTGTCATCTTGTTAGCCATGTTCTTGATTACTTTTTTGTTCTTATTTCTGTTTGTCTCTATAGTTTTCCTGATATATTGGGTCATGGGCAAAGTCATAAACATTTTTGTTTAGGAAAAAATAGGTCAACTTTTCCAATGACTCCCTTCAATACTTCTTGAAGTGCCAGTGTAGTGTTGGTGAATTCTTCCAGTTTTTGTTTATCTGAGAATTATGTTATTTGTCCTTCCCAAATGGAGGAAAGTCTTGCTGGGTAGTATTCTTGGTTGAAATTCTTTTCCTTTTAGTGCTTTAATATATTTTTCCAGTCTTTCCTTGCTTGCATAGTATAATTTAAGAGGTATAACATTAGCCTACTGAGATAATCTTTGTAAGTAACTTCATGTTTTTCTCTTGCCATTTTTAGAATTGACTTTGTGATTTTGACCAATCTCGCTATGATATACCATGGAGAGGATCTACTTAGGTTGATTGTATTTGGAGTCCTTTGTATTTCTTGGATCTGGATGTTTGAATGTTTCTCTAGATTTGAAAAGTTTTCTGCAAGTATTTCATGGGATAGGTTTTCAATGCTCTTATTAGATTCTTTACCTTCTGAATCTTGGGGGTGTTTGGGCATTTATTGTGTCTTGAATTTCCCATATGTTATCCTCAATTTTTTTTTTTTTTTTTTGGTGGTTTTGTTCAAGTCAGAGTCTATGTCTTCCAGATCAGAGATCCTATCTTTTACATGGTCTAAACTGCTATTAATACTTTCAAGGGGGGTTTTGATTTCTTGCATTACAGTCTTCATTTCTGAAGCTCCATTTGATTCTTTTTATGGAGTCTGTCTCTTTATGAAGTTCCTCCTTCAAGTCTTGGAATGATTTTCTCATCATCTGGAGGTGATTGCCTGTTTTCTCTTGAATCTAATTGAGTTTAATTACCATAAATACTCTGAATTCTTTTTCTGACATTTCACTGATTTCCTCTGCTTTTTTATTGTTGGAGATGAGTTCTTATGCTCCCTTCAGGGAGAAGTATTTCCTGGATTTTTCATGTTTCTGAAGCCCTGCTGTAATTTTTAATGTAGATTGTATAGATACCTTTAGTTGTATGTACTTATGCTTCCCTTTGATCTGAACTTGATCTGAATTAGCTACATGCCAGTTTTTCTCTTCTACTGTGGTAGTGTGATATCCTCAATCAAAGTTTTGGGTTCAAGTTTACACAGAGGTTTTCTTTCTCCTTTTGCTGACATGGATGTGGAAGAGAATTTTTCCACAGCCTCACCCTACTTAGTTGTTTGGCTTCTATATACCTAGACCTATTGGGTTGTTATGTGGCAGGGGATCAAACTGAGAGATGAGAATGTAGGGATAATATCTAAAACCATGCACTGTGGGCCCTGACTGACACCCTAGCTGGGCATGGATCTTGGATGTAAAGCTGCCTACTTCTTCACTGCTTCTTCTTTCACTGTGGCTGAGAGATAAAAGGCTGGTCTCAAGGAACAAAGAGGCCCAGACCCGCACCCTAACTGGGCAAGAGGCTTAGATGTAAAACTAAAGTCTATTTTCTTAGTGCTATCAGTTACCCATAAGTTAACCACAACCTCTTTTCTCATCATCCCCCTTCCATGCAGAAAAGAAGACCTTTTAGGGGCTGCTTCTTTGGTACTAGGCATCAGAATATCCAAAATCTTTCAAAGGATTATTCTTCCTTACACTAGACTGTGAAATCCCTGAACTCTCTGCGACCTTTATCCTAAAGACGGCACTACACTAGCAGTCTGTCCTTTTCCCAATTTTGTCTTTGCTTTAAAGTACTTAGTCCTTTCAGTTCTTATATATTTTTCCTAAGCTTCTTCTCTATCTTTCTCTTTTTAACTTTCTCTCATTTTCTCCTCTTCTCTCTCTCCCCTTTTTCTCCTTTACTTTCTGCTATAAAAGGGAAAGACACTATGAAGATGCCAAGGATGATTTGAACTTGCCGTCAGGAGAATGGACATGTGGTATCTTTAACTCAGGATGTATATGAGCCATATAATCAATAAAATGCATTAAACGAATTGCTTTTGGTTTTCTTCCTCCTACGAGAAAGTCTTAATTCTTCAGTTGCATGCAAGATGAGCCCAGCTATTGGTCTTTCAGCAAGGAGTTAGAAAAGGCAAAAAAAAAGAGAAATCATTTCTGGAAAGTTTATCATCTCTCAGGACCTCCATCCTCTGCTTTTTTTGTCCTTTGTCGTAATGTCTCTCAGTCCATGTCTTGTTCATGACAAATTAATTCCTGAAAGTATCTAAATCACCATTAACATACATGTGACAATTCCTTTCTGGATTAGGACATAGCAGAGTCCACGTCAGGGCCACTCTCAGGACAGTAACTAGATAATTAAATGCAACTTTATCCTATTTTGATGGATAATCTTAGGCATGACTGTCTTGCTCCAGCTGTCTTCAGAAATCACATTCCATTCCACTCCACATCCTTCTGAATTCTGGCATCTTATGTATCATTCCCAGAACTGGCACCCAATTCCAAATTCCTTTATATGACTTGGCTCTTCACCTTGATCATAATTTGCATTGTTCTCTCCAGATACAAAACCTACATAGCTAATTGGAGATAACTGCCAAAACTGTTGAGGATGGTTCTCACAGAAATGCCGTGAGATGCCACAATGCTTCTCTGTACTGATTAACAGGAACCATAGTGTTTGCACAATTTGGGTGTTGTTAAACACATATTTTGATTTTTTACAAATACAGGCAACTTCTATATTCAGCACAGTTTGGTTTTACAAATGATTGCTTGCTTATGCATGGTGGAGCATTCCCAATATCAAGTATCTTGTTAAATTTAGTTCTATAGTCCAGACATATTTACTGCCTTTTACCAAAGCTGGCCTTCCAAGAGCTATCATAGGGAAGGCCTAAGGGATATTTCTTCAAGGACGTTGTTATGAAAGATGATACAGTGAACGAGGAGGAGGGCAAAAAATGAAAGCAAAATTTCCCATTAGTAGCCAATGCTTTTTAGCTGATGTGCTCATAGTCATATTTCCATTTAATTTTGAATTTCCATAAAGATGCTATAAGTGATTTGGACTTGCCTTCAAGAGATCAGACATGTGGAGTCTTGAACCATGGAGTAAATGTACCATACAATCGATAAAACACATTAAATGAATTGCTTCTACTTCCCCCCCATGAGAAAGTTTTAATTCTTTTGCTGCATGCTGCAGTCCCAGCTGTTGATATTAAAAGAAGGAAATAGGGAGAGAAGGAAATGAAATTGGCTGCTGAACAATTAACACAGGCCTCTATTCTGCAAATTATATACATGAAGGACATTTCTCTTCAAATAGAATAAGATGCTTTGAATGTGTATAGATTATGTACCTCATACTTACTGAGTGCACATTGGAAGTAATGATTAAAGCTGCACAGTTCTGAGGTTAGTTTCTTCTCTCTTGAAAAGGTAGCTGTGAGCTTCTTGGTTACTCAAGTCAGGAGTTAAAGCATCACAGGATGATGAAAAAGTGTTGAGAGGAGGGTTCCCCTAATAGAAAAACGCTTTATTTATTTTTTTTTTTTGAGAGATTTTCGCTATAGGGCGCGTGCGCTCGCCAGACAGACAGAGAGAGACATAGAGACAGAAAGCGAGAAATCACCCCCCAGGGGGGATGGTCACGCCGCAATCCCTTCTCCTCCATTCTCCTCTCGGGATCTTGGGCACGCACGCACACGCGCCCGGCGTGAGTTTTAAGCCACCGGGTCCGGGACACGAACCGCGGTCGACTACGTGGGAGTCCAGCGACATAGCAGCATTACATTTTCATATTTAGTCACTTCTTTCCTCCACCTAATGTTCACCTTTTTCTCTAGACTAAGATCAAGGAAATACTTCTTGGGCCCCTACCCCCTTTGCAAATCGAGGTTATTCTTAGACCATATCAAGCACCAAAGATACTGTTGCTCAGTTCTTTAGAAAAGACCTCCTTAATAGAAAAACGCTTTATTTATTTTTTTTTTTTGAGAGATTTTCGCTATAGGGCGCGTGCGCTCGCCAGACAGACAGAGAGAGACATAGAGACAGAAAGCGAGAAATCACCCCCCAGGGGGGATGGTCACGCCGCAATCCCTTCTCCTCCATTCTCCTCTCGGGATCTTGGGCACGCACGCACACGCGCCCGGCGTGAGTTTTAAGCCACCGGGTCCGGGACACGAACCGCGGTCGACTACGTGGGAGTCCAGCGACATAGCCATTACGCTAACTGCTGGTTCCCGAAAAACGCTTTATATAATCATCATCCAAGGTCAGTAAGATCTCATAGGATTCTAGACAAAAGAGCCCAGAGGACCAAGGCTACTAGGAGGTGGGTAGGGATGAATTGTCACCAAACTGCTAATAGATGATTGGCTTAATCAGCTAAAGGAGGATATTGCATGTTGGTTAACCAAAAATAATGTTAAACATTGTCATATAATATCATGTGTGGTTTGGCACAGTATTATGACCTGTAATCCCAGCAACTTGTGGAGGCCAAAGCAGGATGGCCTTGGTAACATAGCAAGACCCTGTCCAGAAAAGAGCCTGGCATGGTGATGAGTCTGCTATCTCAGCTGGGAGGCTGAGACAAGATGGATCACGATAAAGCAAGACTCTGTCTTAAACAACAAATAAATACATAACTACATGCATTAAATCAGTCATGTCTTAAGCACTACATTAATTAACATGCATTATTTAACTTTATCTTATGAAGTTGATACTTTTATTTACCGGCTCCATTTACAGATAAGAAAACAGAGAGAGAGAAAAACAGATTTCCCTCTGCCACTTGGTTGACTCCATAGCAAATAAGATTCAAAACCAGGCAGTGATCCTTCAGAGTCTGTGCTCTTAAACTGAACATGATATTGGAGCTTACATAAAAGAGAACCTTCCTTTCTTTTTCTTCTCAAGCTCAGTGTTTTTAACACTATGGTTACAAGTTAGTTGGCTTGATGTATCCACAAGTATCTTAGAATGTAGAAAACTATTGTTTTTGATAGGATTCCTCAAATAAACTCACATCCTGAAGACATGGAAACCAAAGAGAATACAGTCAGGATGAACTTCCAGACACTAGAAGAGTTTCAGAAGTTGAAGACAAGTGAGTACATCCCTCCTACCTTACAGAAGGGAATTGGGAGAATTCTAAGTAAAGAGACTCCTCTGGTTTCCTTTGACATTGATAGAATGATGCCAGTTAGTCTTGGACTGATGTGTTTCTCTAAACAGAAGGCTCTGAAAATGACATTAATGTAGGCAGGCAGGAGGTAGGGACAAGGCAGGGAGTTGATTGCTGGAATGCCATTACTAATTGTGTGGCATTTGAAGTAGTGTGACATGAAGATTCCAATCAGCCCTCACTCTCCAGAGAAATGTCATTGCTTAGAATTCATAGAATGCAAGAATTAAAAAAAAAATACAGTTTATCTAGTATGGACTCATTTCCCCAATTAACATGTGAGAAAATGAAGACTCTAAGAGGGGAAGCAATAAGCCCAAGGCCAGAGAGCTAGTTAGTGGCTGAACTGGGCTAGAACTCAGATTGCCTGACTTCTCTTTGAGTATCCTTTCCACTCCACCTCTATGTTGCAACTGCACAAAAAAAGAACTTCCCAGAAATCTAGTCGCCAAACAACAATGCAGAGTTTCATTAGAGCAGTGGAGAGAAGAGAGGTCAAAGAAATAAAAACAGCATCCCACTCAATTATTTTAATGATGAAAAATTCCTAAACAACAGGGGGCACGGAAGCCATCTGCTAAGCTAATATGAGAAGAGCAGATATTAATTGAATTGCCAACTTTGGTATTTCATAGACATAGAGACTCCTAACATTTTAAGACTATTCGTTGGACTTGGAAGCAGTATTTGGACATCATTGAAACCAAACCTCTTGTGCATGGATGATGATCCTGAGTCCAAGAGAAGGAACAACTTAATCAAACTATTCAGCTAATCAATGATAAAGCTGGGCAGAGTAATTCAGACCCTGGGCTCCTACTCAAGAATCCTCTTATTTACATCACAATTTCTCTTCAAGGGTCAAGGATGGTGAGGATGGAGAAGTCCCTGAAAAATCTTTCAGCTAAGTCCCACATCTTTAAAAAAAGTGACTTGAAATCATTCTTTCCCCAAGTAGTTTTTGAGAGTAAAGTATTTCCAAACTTAGATTTCCATAAAGGAAAGGACTCTTTAGTTGTATCCTAAGATCCAGGGCAGAATGATGTTATGTGAAATCTCCTTCCAAGATTATTGTTTTAAGGAGCAACCTGGAAATATCCCTAAGAGGAAAAGGATACAGTTAATCATCTTGGGCACCTGTGAGTCAGGCATTATATTAGGATTGTGAATTTATATTCAGAGTCCTAAAATATCTCTGATGAAGTACACAGTCTATTTGAGCCAAATGAAGGCAGATCTTTGAGGAGGGATTAATGCATAAGCCTGGGAGAAACAGGGAAGACTTGATGGGTGATGTTTGAACAGGAGTTTGATTGTTTAACAGATTTGGAAAAAGAAGCATTCAAGATAGGAGCAACATGGGTAAGCACTGAGAGTGCTCTAGATTCATGCCATGTTAAAAATCATGCTCAGTAAATCTACCTAGGAAGTAAAATGACACCGAGACCCTTTATTGAAATGAATAAAACAGTATTTCACCTGTGTTCATGAAACTGGTATCTATGATTGGCTTGGTGAGCCAAGACCTTAACCTGTTTCCCTGGCAGTTTGAGCTCCTTTCTCCAGTGATCCTCATCAATTGCTCTGCATCCCAGATTGCTGTTAGCATCACAGGAAGTTGCAATTTGGTCTTCTAAATTCTAACAAACTCATGGGGAAAAAAACTACTCCAAAAGCACCATTTTTTTTTTTTAAGAGAGAAAGGAAAGTTTATGGAGATTGAGAGAAAGAGAGCAGAGGTGCTTACGAAGGAGATGGTTGGTGGTGTATTTATATCAGAGGGGTGGAGGGATAGGGTCACAAGAATGGCTGGTACTTTGATGAGCTTACTTGCCATTGTGACTTTATCAGCCCATTTATGGGTGTTGGTTGCCAGTAAGGGAAGGCTCTGGCCAGAGGATATGTGTCAAAGGTTGCTGCAGCCATCTCCTTATGTTCAATGGGAAATTACCTAAATTCCTTTCAGAGTCTAAGTTTTCCAACCTTTATGTTTTATAAGCAAAAGATAGATTGAGGGTGGGACAAGGGATTATGGGCAATGGTCAATCTTCTGAGTTGCTTCAAGCTGAGAAGAGGTGTTGTCTTTTAGGTTGATGAGGAGAGGTGTGGGTCCTTTGGATGCAAGTGTAAATATTGTACCCTCGGAAGTAGCAAGATGTCTTCAGCCTGTTTTAGGGCCAATTGTTGCATGGTATCTTGGATGAAGTGGTTTAATGTGTTTAGGAGTGGAAGTCCCATAGAAAGTAAGAGAAGAATTACCACGGGGGAAACTGGGGTGGGATGAAAGCAGCATTCTTCTAGAAAGGGAAAGA